CATCCATCCATCCATCTACCATCCACTCACTCACCCATCCATCCATCTACCATCCACTCACTCACCTACCCATCCATCCATCTACCATCCACTCACTCACCCACCCATCCATCCAGCCACCCTTCCATCCATCCACAGATCCGGTGGTCTCTGTCCAAGGGCCATGGTGGGTCTGGCCGCCCGCCTGACACTCACCCGTCTCGTTCGCGCCACCTGCAGGCATCGGCTATGCCTCCATCGTGATCGTGTCTCTCCTGAACATCTACTACATCGTCATCCTGGCCTGGGCCATGTACTACCTGTTCCAGTCCTTCCAGGAGGACCTGCCCTGGGCGCACTGCAACCACAGCTGGAACACGCCCCACTGCCTGGAGGACACGCTGAGCAAGAACAAGAGCGCGTGGGTCGCCATCAGCACCAGCAACTCCACCTCCCCCGTCATCGAGTTCTGGGAGTAAGGCCGGGCTGGTGCGGGCAGGCGGAGGGCGTGGGTGGGCAGAGAGGGCCGCCCGCTCCCTCCCTCATCTTCTCCCCGGGGCGAGGCAGCCACTCGTCTTCCAGGGGAGGGACGGAGGGTGCAGGGCCGCAGCTCAGGCTACGCCTTTGCGCGCAGACCGGGCCGGAACCGACCCCCAGTTCTGCCTTTCGCTGGCCCTCTGACCCTCTGCAAGTCCCCTTCTGAGCCTCAGTTTCTTTAGCTGTCAAATGAGGGGAACGAATCGTTCCTGCCCCTGTGGGATCCCGGCGAAGATTGCTTCCCAAAGGCGGGGACCCGTCGTTACTGCTGTCTGCAGATGATACGGCTTTCGTAATGTATTCTAGAAAAATTATATTCTCTGTTATTGCACGGAGAAAAATGCGTATGGTAAGCCGAAGTAGTTACTCAAGTGCAAGGTGAGTAGATAGAGTGAAAAATACACATCAGTTAGCTTTCGCCGTGTAACAGCCGTCCCCGTTCTTGGTGGCTTCAAACGACGACCTTTTATTTGACTCTTGTTTCTGCTGCGTGTGGGCGGTTTGGGCCAAGCTGGGCTGGGCGGTTCTTCTGCTCTCGGGCTCCTTGGCGCACCTGTCATCAGCTGTACATCCGCGGGGTTTGGCTGGCGGTCGGCTGGGGCGTCAGGGGCAGCCGGTCCATGCGGTCTCATCGCCCGGCAGGCTTGTCACCGGTGGCTCGGCGCTCCGGGAGCGAGAAACGACCAAGCTCTGGGGCCCAAGCACTTTCCAAGTGCCTGCACCCAAGAGGAACCCAGAATTCGAGAGGGAGGAGAGATGAACTCTGTCCCTAACGAGAGGAAGGGAGAACTGGGGGCATCTCTGCATGTTTTTCTGTTCTTCGTGAGCTATCGAAGTTGGGGCTTAGCCCTCGGGGACAGCCCGCTGGACCCCGAAATAGCCGAGAGGAGGCCTGGCGTGGAGGTGGCCGGAGCGGGGGGTGCTATTTAGGAAGTAGGTGGTCTCCCGCCACCACGAGAGGATAATCCCTCTCTCTCGTTTGTGGCTCTGCTGTTTTCGGGGTGTCTGGACTCCCGACAGGCCGGCGCAGGGAACAGGCCAGAGGGGGGCGCTGCCTGCTTTTGGGCCCGGTCAGGGCTGGGAAGTCCCGGGCCAGGCGGGTCCGCTGCCCTCCCTCGGTGCGAGGCGCTCTGAGTGGGCGGCGCGTGTCACTGTCCCGGCCCGTGGGCCTTTGGCACGTGCTCGCGGGCAGGTCCCCAGGCCCCGCTTGGACCGGGCCTCCTCACGTGGACGCATTTTCCACTTGCGAACAAAGAGGCACGAAAAGCACATCCAGCACCCCTGTTCCCCGCCCTGGAACTTCATTCTTCTCCACATGGGGCCCGAGACACAGCCCTGCCCTTGCTCTGCCGTTCTCGGCACGGCCTGGCCGCCGGGCCTGTCCCCGCCCAGAGCGCTGGCTCCCGGCCAGGTCCCGCTGGGACCGCCCGGCCTCCTCCACCGGGGACCGGGCTGCCCGGGCTCGAGCCCACGTTCTGCCGCTGCCGGCTGGGGCGGGCGTGTCCGCTCCGTGTCCTCGCCTGCACTGGGCCTGCCCTGCCCTGCCGGGGTCGCGGGGCGGCCCCCAAACCGCACGGTACACGAGGGGGGTTAGGGTTGTTGGTGCAGCGTCCTCGTGGGGCGGAAAACTGCTCCCCGGAGACATCCGGAGCCTTTTCAGCGTCGTGACCTTAGAGACCTGCCCTTCCTCC